GAGGCGAGATGTTGATGGTTCCGTGTTGGTTTTAAGAGAAAGAATTCCGTGTAAAGTTTGTTTTAAGCAGTCCACTGCTCCTGTGAATCTACACTGCTACTGTAACCCAAATTTGATTTGCGCATGCGCAGAAACCCGCCAGAATAAAATGACGTATGCAGCAGTCAACTCGGGGACTGCTATCACACAGCAGTAGTGTGGTTTCACAGGAGCAGTGGACTGCTTAAAGCAAACTTTACACAAAACTCTTACTCTTAAAACACACATATCACAACGCGGACCCTTCAACATCTCGCCTCAAATTGCATTAAAAGTGACATTCGTGTCTTAATTTGTTCGTATTTTAACTTTTTAAGTAATTTGCGGACTTCATGTCATCTTGGATTGCACGCAGCGCAGGTTTGCATTACATCATTAACAGCTGAGGGAGCTCATCTCGACAGAACACTGGGAACCCATCTCCAGATGTTGATGCTCGGCTTGGTCAGGACTACCACAGCTGGAGGATTTTACCTATCGTGCATGTTTTTAGTGGTAGGGGAAACAGGAGCACCCGGAGGATACCGGAGCAGGCACAGGGAGAATATGCAAACTCCGCTCAGAAAGACCACGTTCCGTCCGGGATTCAAACCCAGAACCTGGCATATGTCACTTTGTTTGTTATAATTTTCATGATTATGGTCCATTTTCAAAATATTCTATTTTTCTGAAATGTTTAATTTGGGTTCTTTACAAACTGTGAGACATATTATCAACATTATAACAGATAAAGGCTCAGTGTATCTCACTGTGCGCTTTCACATTATTGTGTCACATTATAAGTTGAATTACAGAAGTAAATGGACCTTTCACCAGTAAAGTCTATGATAATTGAGTTTTGAAAGCATAAGAGGCTTTAGTTGGAGAGGCATATTCACAGATGCAGTTTCTTGGTGTAATATGACTCCAGTCGGCCCCACTGCAATAAAGTCTGAAGGATAGGTCTCCAATAAGTCACAATGTTTAGTTTAGAGTGTGAATTAATCATATTTAAATATCAAATGTGTGGATGTTTATCAACTGGACTCCCACAGCGAAGTGTGGACCAGAGGAGAATTCTTAATGCCTTAGGACATGCACCAGATATTTAGTGAAAGAACCTGACAGTGGTCTGGCGAGTGTGGAATACAGACTGTGCTCTTCAAGACATGCACGGTGATTTTGCCCATTTTTCTCATTATCAAAAAGATGTTTGTTTTTTGACTATTCAAATTGTGATGCAATACAATTAACAATTTACTTAATTATTGTAGCTTGTCTTTTGTCAAATCAACCATGTCCACTATTGGAATAAAGCATTACAATTGATGTTTCACAAAATTAATAATTTATTCTAGATTTATACTCCACCTTGTTGTTGCCAGAATACTACCTTCTAAACACTGATTATTGATACAATCCACCTACTGGGGGTACATACAAAAGATGTAGATGTAATTTAGAATTGAAATATTTCATGCTATTGCTTTAATTTCTTTACTATTTGCTGGTGTTAAACATTACAACTTCCTTGACCATTTAGATTCCTCTTGGGCTGTCGTTAAAATGTCAATACAACAGTGTAAGAAAAAAGTGATGAGAGAAAAGTGCTGACCATGGTTAGGAGAGGTCAGTAATTTGCATTGATTGGTCCAGGGCATTCATTATCTGTTAAACACACTGTCAATGATTCTGCGGCTTGATAAACCAATGACCCCAAACACCTAGCCTGACTCTCGCCAGAACCATGTAGTTCGCTGCACTTCACACATGAGTCTGGTACTGAGCCATAGTGGTTGGATTTCAGAAGGCAGGACCCGGTAAAAAAAATCCTTGCATGTGATTGGATAGACCACTTGTCCGTTATCTTGAATGACGGCTCCCATAGGTTGCCAATTCCCAGCAAGATTTTCCAACCCAAAATCCGCGAGAATACCCGCACACACAAAAAAACACTCAGAATGATTTTTTGGCTAAAAACGTAATGTAATCAACTTGGGCTATCATGATTCTGGATATTGTCTTTCTGTTTATTTAATACCTACAAGTCTCTTAGAAAAAAATATGCGGGAACCACCAAACCTGGCAACCCTGCTGCATAGCGTGTAAACAGGAACACTGAACCAGTGCTTCAACCAAACTTTACAGGAACATTTGACTCTTAAACACACATATATCAACATAGAACCATCAACATCTCGCATCAAATTGAAATAAAAGTGACATCCGTGTCTTAATTCGATCGCATTTACTCTTTTAAAAAGATTCGCGGACTTTACGTCGGCCATCTTGGATTCCTCTCGCTGCTGCATGAGAGAAGCTTGAGAAGGCAGTGCAAACCACACGTAACACCTGCAATCCTGATTGATCGATTAAAAAATAATCTGGGGTAGGCGTTCGCTATGGCGTCGATACCAGACCCATGTGGTTCAGCCAAACGCCTCTGGTGGAGCATGGCAGAACTAAAAGGGTCTGGCAGAGCCGAGCTACCAAACACCAGCATTGTGGGGGAAGTAAATGGACAGCCGACATTCAAAGAATGAAAAAGGCCGGTCTAGTGTGCAAATGTGAAGTTCGTGCAAGGTGGCCCAGGAATTTTCAAGAAAATATGGCTTTTTGCCAAGCAGAATGGTAAAGCTTACCATCCAAGAGGATAAGGGACCTCATCCACAACTACCACAAAAGGCTCCAAGCTTTCAGAGATGTGACATTGAGAAATGGGGAATGGAAACTTCCAAAATCAGGATCCTTTCAGAAGTGGTCATTATAATTGGAAAATAGAAAACACAACACCTATCAATGAGAACAAACCATTTGTGTTATCATCACTGTTGGGTAGAACACTTTGAGAATGCACTCTGTTCCAGAATACTAACTACATGACCTAAAATGTGTTTTTTATAGTGTTCCGTTACTTTGTATAAAACTGTATTCTGAATACTACGAATTATTTTATTTTTTTTAAATGAATTTAACATGTAATACTACATTAATTTAAATTTTGTTGGTTTCCCGCCAGGACATTTTTTTAATGTCAGCCATTATGTACTCCAATACTAGTACTTTGTGCAAAGTCTGTGTATTCGCTCATGCAGACACACACATTAGCACACTCGGTAAAAAGCTCAGCAAGTATAGCAAATTCTAGCTTAGTGGTTGCTACCGGGGCTATTTTTTACAATGCACTATATTGCACAATAGATAAAGGGTGAGTTGCTGGTAGACAAACTTTGCACTGCACAGTTATATTTCGACCTGCCTTCTCCTGTTTTAGAATTAAATTAATTATTGATTGAACGTCCACCATATGAATGCATTGGCCGACTTGCGTTGTTCCCGTGTCGGCTGATGATGAGGTCTTTAATTCCAAGTCTGAATCCTCCATGTTTTTAAACCAGTCTCCTCCGTGCGCCTTCGTCTGGACTTGTTGTCAGATGCGTAATGCATGGACGCAACATTTTCTTTTTTCTTACTTTAAAGACGTAATATGGGAACGTACTGTATAAATTCCCGTGATTTCCAGTAAGTAACTGTATTCTAAATACTAGACATTAAGGAAGTAACGTTAAAGGAATACAGTATTCAAAAAGAGTATTCTGAATACGAAACAGCGTTACATGTTTTCCATTACTCCCGCACAATGGTTATCATTCATAATCTACAAATCTACAAAACATATACATTTCTCCCTGGAGTGGGAGCACAATCATGGAACGATAAAGTTTAATTTGTAAAACAACGACCACAAACTCCTGCCTAAAAATGTATGGAGTGTTTAAAAAGTGAGAACAAAATGCATGGAGTTACCTATAAACCAATTTGCATGCATCACCTCCTTAACATTTTTTCACCTCTTCACTATTTATATCAGCGGCGCCTCCATCCATCCGTTAAATCGATATCCACATAGCAGATTCTTCCAGTCAAGATTACAGTATGAATATTCTTTGCACATTTATCACGGTGCAGGGATTTGGGCAGAAAGGAAACACACCAGCACTACGGTGGGCTAAACTGGATATAGCTTGTAATTTATGGTTAAGTGAGGTCCATAAAGCATTTTCTTATATCAGAATGTGACATGGGGATATTTATCAGAGGTTGGGCCCATGCAAACACACACACACACTTCCTTCTCCACTCTGCTGAAAAGGCATTCTATTAAAACAAGTAAAAGGTGCAGAGCTAGTCAGATTCGAGAAGTCTGAGAGTAAATAAATTATGAAAATAGGCCTTGACACATTCATACCCAAAACAAAAAACACACCGTTTTCAAACAGCCAAGAGTATTTTGTGAGTAATTTATATAAACTGTGGATTTTATCTGTATTTTATCAATGCCAATATGCTTTTGACGTGATTACTAGTATTAGCACAATATTGCTGTACAGGACAATGATAACAATATATATTGCGATATTTTTCTTTCCCAAGTTGATGCATGATATCTTTTATATTTCATACGTGCAATATTGATATCTTCATGATAAAATGATTTCACTTTCCATTATTGAGACATATATTGTGTAGAGCTAACGAATATATAATCAACAGATATATCAGATTTAACTTTTTTAATTTCCCTCAGGATGCCTAGAAATTGCTTTGCTACAGCAAGCCTATCACCCAAGTGGAGCCATATATATGTTTTCAAACAAATTCTTTTACAAGAACAACTTTATAAAATGAAGAGCAATGCTCAGCCTAAACTTTTTTTTTTTGCCCAGGGCAGTTTAAGAATCAAAGTTATCACTGGGGGTTGGAATAGTAATCAGGGTCAGAGTAAATGGCTGTACACACAAACAGAATATGTTTGAAAATGTTTATATGGCACAGCGTGGATGAGAATCTTGTAAATTACAGTAGTCATGTTTATGGGATTTTGCAGTTGCCATTTTATTTAAGGTTTCAAATTTGTATTATTCATTATAAATAACAGCAAAATGACAACCTGTATTTGAGAGTGTATTCAGCACACTTACCCGCTGTCAGTAAATAGGAACTCAAAGTGAGTCATGTAGACCTCCCACAGAGGAACGCTGTAACGCTTCGCCAGGGACATCGCAATTTTGTACACGCCGTCATCCAGGGTCCTGAAAAAGCAGATGGAAAATGTAATGATCACGTTTCATAAAGACGGAAGCGCACGCCCACGCTTTCAGCTAAATCCTTTTAGATGACGTTTCTACAGTGAAGTAAGTAACATATCACAGTAATCTCATACTCTGTCAGTCCAAGGATAGTTTCTTTCTTGTAGTCTGCATCGGAGCTGAAGCGGGACACGTCCACTCCTCGCCCAAGCCCTTGTAGGACCTGGGCCTGAGTGAAGTCCATGAGGCGCTCGTTGTACATCTGCAGCTGTTCAATCAGCTTCTGCAGCTCCCCGGGCCAGCCGGCGTACGAGGAGACGTGCTGTGTGACCAATCGGATCATCTCCTTAGGGTCGGCCTGTGAAAAGAAGAAAATGTAGTTACTAAACATGTTACTGCACGGTGTATTACACAACTCAGATGAGAACTCCAGACAAATATTCCATTCACCAAGCAATGAACCAAAATATAATATATAATAGAACAATTGATTTACGTTAGTGTGTGTGTGTGTGTGTGTGTGTGTGTGTGTGTGTGTGTGTGTGTGTGTGTGTGTGTGTGTGTGTGTGCTAGTCCTTTTATTTTTTGCAAAACAAATTTAAAAAAAGGAAACGCAAAAAATAAAATGTACAGACCAGTCTCCCTCAAGATTCCATTCATGAGAGCGCTTTCTAACGTAAAGAATGGCTACAGTAGACACAGTGAGATTCAGATTCAGACTACTTCATTTATCCCACCAGGGGCAATTCGTTTGAGCAGCACAGGGCATAAAAACCTAAAAAACTCATACAAACACAAATGTTAGACAGTAACATAAGCGATATATGGACATAAGTGGAGCCCATACAAACATATGAACATAATACAGCTAGAGTCAAAACACTAACCTTCCATAAAAGCGACCTGAATTATATTCATATGGTTAAACTGACACTGCTTTAAGAAAAATAAGAGTTGTGTTTTTTTGAGGGATGTGTTTTGACTAAGAACAATAATAAACTTTAGTGTTGACAATTTTCCTAAAACAAAAGATAACTTGCTAGCTTGGATTCAGCCGTAAGAAAATAATATCATAATCTGTGCCAAGAAAGGGGTCTGCAGGTGTGAAACCAGCTCCCCTTGGTGAATTCTGCCATATTCTCCCCTTGGTGAATTCTGCCGAATTCTGTGAATTCTGCCATAGTGTTTTCTACCTCCCGCTGAGACCAAACGACCCTGGAAGTCTGGCTGCTGTGGTCGACTGTTTTAACGATGTGAACCGTTGGATGGCCCATAACTTTATACAGCTCAACACCTCCAAATCAGAAGTCCTCCTCATCAACCCGCCTCCATCTATATCCCACATCCAAACCCACCTCGGCCCCCTTTCCTCAAACATCACTCCCTCCGCCCGTAACCTTGGTGTCATTTTTGATTCTCACCTCACTTTCCGCTCCCACATCAATAAAACCACCCAAACCTGCTTCTATCACCTCCGCACAATCTCAAAGATTAAAAACATCCTCACTCCTCCCGATCTCCATAAAGTTGTCAACGCCCTCATCTTCTCCCGCCTCGACTACTGCAACTCCCTCCTCTCCGGTCTCGACGCTAAATCCCTCTCCCGCCTCCAACTGGTCCAGAACGCAGCAGCCAGACTTCTCACTGGTTTTAACAGAAGGGAGCACATCACCCCTGTTTTAGCGTCTCTCCACTGGCTCCCTGTGCGTTTTAGAATTGATTTTAAGATTTTACTGATTACTTTTAAAGCTCGTTTAGGTCTGGCACCAAGCTATATTTCTGAACTTTTAACCCCCTACGAGCCCCCCCGCAGCCTTAGATCCTCGGGCAGGTCCCTGTTGACTGTTCCAAGGTCGAGGCTCCGGACGAAAGGTGACCGAGCCTTCTCTGTCCGGGCTCCTCGGCTTTGGAACGACCTGCCCGAGGAGATAAGGCTAGCACCATCAGTATCCTCTTTTAAATCTCTTCTTAAAACCCACTTTTATCAAACAGCTTTTAACTGTTAGTTTTAAACTTCTGATGCTGTATTTTATTGTCTGCTTTGTCTTTGTTGAGTCTCTTTTGTGTTTTGCTCTGTTTGCTTTGTGTTTCTGTATCTAATTATTTTGACCTTGCATTATGACTGTTTTTATTGTTTATCATGCTGACTGTGCAGCGCTTTGTAAACACTGTTTTTAAAAGTGCTATATAAATAAAGATTATTATTATTATTATTATATGTCCTTGGGCAAGACACTTGACCCACCTCGCCCCTAGCATCTGCGTACACTGGTGAATAATAGTGTTTGTGAATGGATGAAGGGTTCCTTGATGTGAAGAATTTTGCGTGCCTTGAAAAAATATATGTAACCATTTACCTTTTAGGCCAGGAAAGTTTATTTATATAGCACAGTTCCTACACAACATTAAAGTCACACAAGGCATTAAATAATCACAGTGCATTAAAAAGAGTAGTTTTTTTTTTTTTTTTTACTCAATTACCTCTATCTGTAAATTTCAAAAAAGTTTTATCTCATGTTATTTTCATGTATACCGGGCCTCTAACCCTATTTTTGTATTTACTGGGGCCTTTACTCCAGTCACCGTTTCACTCCATTAAAGTTTGTGTTAATGTGCAGCCTCACAAACGTTGTGTATGGAAATTGGTGAAAGGAGAATAATGTGATTTAGGCAGTGGCGGCCGGCCAATAGAGGGCGCTAGGGCGCCGCCCCACCACTCACAACTTGCCATGTTACCTTGGATAAAACGTTAAAAAAAATAATAACATTAAAATATTTCGAAATTTATGTGTGTTTTATTTCAGATGTGGAAGAAATACTTTATAGTTTATGCTGAGTTGGATTGATTAAGCTCATCAGCGTTGTCTGTGTCGGACTGAGGACGTATTTCCGCCTCAGGGCGCAAAAGATTGCGCCCTGAGCCGTCTATGGACTCTCGTTAAAAGTTGTACATGCGCAGTAGCTCCTCTTCAATGCAAGAGATAAGACGATTTGGGGGCGCAGGAGAAGTGCGCCCTGAGGGGGCGGGATCGCCCGCGACCTGTACTGTCACTGTCTGTGACGTCCGTTTACAGTGATTGACAGGTCAAGCTGTGGGAGTTTGAGACGAACGTAAAGAGACGCAAAATGGAGAACGAGAAAAAGAATAATTCAGTTAGATCTCTCAAAACAATACCGTTTGAGAGAAGATCATACCAGGAGAAGGTTGAGGTTAAAGAGCTTGGACCTGATCAGCCAAATATTACCATTAGTCATCAGTCCAGGACCTGGTTCAGCGCCAAATCTTGGCTAGCAGCATGTAGCGAGGCTAATGCTTTATTTTGCTTTCCATGCCTCTTGTTTCAAACATCAGGATCTGACCCAGCATGGATCAAGACAGGTATGACTGATCTGAAGCACTTTTTAGAAAAGGCAAAGAAGCATGAGCAGACTGGTATCCACATGCAAAATGCCCTCAAATTAGCTATGTTTGGGAAGATAAATATTTCATCCCAGCTGGATGAAAGCTACAGGGTAGGGATCAGAAAGCATCCCTACCCTGCTGGTATATATCTAGTCATCATATTCATAGCCCCCCCAGTAGAAAATTCCACCAGCCGCCACTGGATTTAGGTGAGTCCCAGAATGCTCGTCTTTGAAGATGAAGTCAGAATGCACTTTGTCCACCTGGGCCTGTACAATACAAAGTAATTAAAATACTTTTACTTAATTAAGTAAAAGTATTCATATTTAAAATAACAACCGTCAGAAAGATTTGCAGCAGGAGAAAAGTTAAACCAGCGAGAGCTCACCTGTCAGCCAAGAAGTTGAATTAATTGAAATCACTTTATCTTATTCTTCAATATTGAGGAGCTTTGTTGTTTGAATGTAGATGTATTAAGTTAAGACATACCAAGAGTTAAGTGACTTTTTTTTTTCTTTAAATCAAATTAGTAAGAGTCAGTTTTGTTCATCAAACAGACACTACTTTGTATATGATATGATGTGAAACTGGCCTATATATAAGCCTATATAAGTGTTGTTTTCCAATGACATACAAACAGTGCTACAAATGAGGAATAGGTGTCACAGGATTTGCATGTCACGTGGCGGAGAAGTAGAAATGCAGAGATTGATGAAGAAAGTGATGGACAGGCCCATGTTTGAAGGACTTTACTGAAATAAAGCTTTGTTGATGAAATGCTATTCAAACACTGTGTCACTCTGTCATTCCTCTCCTGTACTTAGTTCTCTTGACAACTTGAATTATACCAGTTTTTTTTGCAAACTATTTCAACTCAATTCTCTCTTTATAAAATACTATCAGGTACAGCTTCAAGTGAATGAAAGTTCAAGTACGCATGAGGTCACCTGTACCAATGAACTCTTTTCAACCCAATGCATACTTTCATTTTCACTTACAAATTCAATGCCATTATTTGAGTAGAAAGGGGGAAATTTAATAAAAACTTAAATTATCAAATAATAATACAAAAGTTTAGTTTCCCCGTAACATTTGAGTGGCTCTTAACAGACACAGGTTGCAGATAAGACGGCCCCATCTCCCTCATGCATTGTGTAAAACAGCAGTAATGATGATGAGATGAATATTTAATGTGGGAAGGAAAAGGAGAACAGCCATTTCAATGGAATCACCAACACACTACTTTGTTATAGAAGCAAAAACTATATCTGTGGCAAAATCGGGGCCAATTGTTCAACTCATCAAACATTTTGCTGAGGAAAATTTCTAACAGACAAACTTGAGTAAGGCAGTGCATTTGGAGTGCATATTTGTCTAATAGGGGACCCCTTTTCTGCCACTACAGCTCCCGTGGGTAAAATATAGACTGCTAATGATTATGGTACAAGTGCGCAATTTGTACAAAGTGGAAAGGGAAGTCAGGGGGACGTAAGAGCTTTTTGGTCCAGAGATGGAAAAGTCGGTTTAACTCATTATTTTGGTCAATTCAACAACATGAGGCATAGTGGTACAAGCAGCGTATACAAGGTTCCTGAAGGCTGCTTGGACTGGAACAAAGAAAGCAAAAGGACACGCCATTAAATGTGGCTATCTTCAGAAAAAATAAAATATTGGATTTGGTCCCAGTCTCAAAAAGATCTGCCAGTTTTATATTCACCTCACCTTGTCCCATCCTTGTTTCAAAGATTGAGGGCTGGGGGACCAAGAAAAGGGGTCCTCCTCTTTAGACTTGAGGACCTTGAGGATCTTGAGCCCCCCGCCCCATACACAGATCGTTATCGCAGGACCTCTACCAAAGGAGAGGAGAACCGGGAACTCACAGGCTATTTTACACATCCCAAGAGAGCTATGGAAGCACAGGATGAGCAAACAGAGATCCGTCATATTATACTGTG